CCGTTGTTTTTGGTGTCTGCCGCCAGTCGGTAAGGTTGGTTCAGGGGCTTGTGTAGGCTTTCTGGTAGAGGGGCCTGGTGCCTTTGTTCTGGTGGGTGGGGCTGGATCTTGTCTTTCTGGTTGGCAGGGCCACGTCCGTTGGTGTGTTTTGGGGTGTCTGTGAACTCACTATGATTTTAGACAGCCTCTCTGCTAATGGGTGGGGTTTTGTTCCTGTCTTGTTAGTTGCTTGCCATGGGGTGTTCAGCACTGGAGCTTGCTGGCCATTGAGAGGAGCTGGGTCTTAGTGTTGAGACAGAGATCTCTGGGAGAGCTCTTGCCGACTGATATTACATGGGGCCGGGTGGTCTCTGGTGGTCCAATGTCCTGAACTCATCTCTCCCACTTCAGAGGCTCAGGCCTGACACTAGGCCGGGGCACTAAGACTCTGTCAGCCACATGGCTCTCTTGCTCTTCTTCTCCTTTGTTTTACTGTCATAGAAGGAACAGAGATTTTGGAGCCAGACAAATTCAAGTCTGAATCTCACATTCATCACTGCATGTAGTTGTATGGCATCAGGCAGTTTACTTAGGCTCTCTGAGCACAGTTTCTTCGTCTATGCCACGGAGACTCTACTGCTCCCCCAGCCCAGTTGTTGGGTAGATAAGTGTTATTGAAGGATGGAGCCTTATCTCCTCCCACTTCGCGGCGGGGGACTATCCAATGGAAAGGAGGCTCTACCTTCTAATTACATTTAACATGTAGAGGGAAGAGAACTGTATCCTCTGTTTTTCAGTGACTTTGGAAGAGGAGACAGGATCCTGGCCTTGCTAACGTAGGCAGCAGGCAGAGGGTGGCCTTCTGTAGAGTCCAAAGCCAAGAACGTCTTTTAGCTCTAGGTTGAGCTTTTAAGCCCTTCCTTCTCTAGAACCCGGATGGAACTCTCGGGCAGCTCTGCCCCAAGTCTCCGCTGTAAAAAGGGATGCTGGGTGGTGTTTTCAGAGGGATGCTCACTTCCTTTCTTGGTGAGAAAATTCCTGGGCCCTCGCTTGCTGCTCTGTGGCCACCATGGCAGGTGTGTGGAGTGACTGTGGAGTGACTTGGATGTCGAGGGCCATGTAGCACGTGACCTTTCCTTCAGGGCTGGTGGGGTGAAGTGATCCCATTTCAGGTCAGTATTTTGGGAAGGAGGAAACAAGCCAGTTAGAAGTGAGTTCTGTAGGGAAGTGAGTTCTGTAGGAGAGGGTGAATATTACATGGAGCAAGAAGAAAGCTAAGGGAATAAAAGGTAGAGAAATACCTCCTATTTAATGAGTACTGGCTCTGTGCCAGATACTATATGGAGCACTTAGCATGGACTAGCTCATCTCCTCCCGAGACATAGGAACTGTATTCCTACTTGACAGATATATTAGGTAACTTGTCAGTGGTCCCTCAGATGCTAAGTGGCAGAGGTGGGATTCAAGCCCATGGTGTTATGGGTAATCACTTGGCAACTCAGAACTTTTCAAACCACTTCTAAACACACAATCCTAAATGGCTGAAGTTGGAAGAAAGTTTGGAGACCAACTAATCCAATTCCTTTATTTGATGAAAAAAGAGACTCAAAGAGGAAAAGTGGTAACACTTGTTATTAGAGCTGAACTGAGAACAATTTCCCGGTTGCCTGAATCCCTATCGAATAGTCTTGGGATAACTGGCTCCAGGACTTCAGAGCTGTTGAATTTGTTGTTTTCTGGAAACAAGCCCCTCCCCAATTCCCCTGGGGTAGACTTCTATTGCAGACCAATATTTCTCATACTGTCTCAAATAGCTTGTGTCCGGGAGATGTGCCTCACGCCCACATCTCAGATAACAGGAAATTAGAAAGTGGCACAGGAGACTTACTCTTTTTCATCAAGTGAAAGGAAGCTGCTGACTCATCATATCAGCCCACTGTTCTGAAACTTTTCTCTCTCCAAAGTCAACAGTGGTTTCATAATTACTAAATTGAAAGAACATTTTCTTAGCTCTATTTTACACATGGGACTTGATATTATTTGTCAATGATAAGCAGTTTCATGAAACTCTCTCCTCCTGTGACAGCCTGTCTCCTGGTTTTTCCTTGCTTGTTCTTTTCATTCCTCTTCATTCTTCTTCCTGAGATGCTACTCTTCCTGCCTCTCCCTTAGATTTAAGTGTTCTGTCAGACTCTGACCACAGCCCTCTCCTCTTCTCTTTTATTAAGCTGTTCCCAGGTCATCTTGTTTACATGAGTCAAAATTCTTTCCAAGACCATAATAAATGCCTCCCCCCACCCTTTTTCATGTTACAGCTTTACTTGGTCTCTAAGACTCTTGGAGACCACTGCAGTCAGTAGACAGAAAGGGATAAAAGTAAAATTGGATCTCTGCATCCAGGGAGATCTCAGAAAAGTGAGAAATTGGGTCAGTTAGGGTCACCTGTCATAATGAAAACCAAGTAGAATCTAACCAGCATGCCTGGGAGAACAGGATTTAGGAGGAAACTTGTCCTAGGTGATCTGGGTAAGATGTGTTGATAAAGGGGAATTTGTTCACAGCTTTTGGCAGGAATCAGTGGACCTGATGTTTTATAAAAATAATTAAAAAGTCTACAAATAAATGCTGTAGAGGCTGTGGAGAAAAGGGAACCCTCCTACACTGTAGGTGGGAATGTAAATTGGTACAGCCACCATGGAGAACAGTATGGAGGTTTCTCAAAAGACTAAAAATAGAGTTGCTATACAATCCAGCAATCCCACTCCTGGACATATATCGGGACAAAACTATAATTCAAAAAGATACATGCAGGACTTCCCTGGTGGCACAGTGGTTAAGAATCCGCCCGCCAATGCAGGGGACATGGGTTCGAGCCCTGGTCCGGGAAGATCCCACATGCGGGGGAGCGACTAAGCCTGTGTGCCACAACTACTGAGCCTGCGCTCTAGGGTCCATGAGCCACAACTACTGAGCCCATGCACCACAACTACGGAAGCCTGCACCTAGAGCCCGTGCTCTGCAACAAGAGAAGCCACCACAATGAGAAGCCTGCACACCGCAATGAAGAGTAGCCCTTGCTCGCCGCAACTAGAGAAAGCCTGCGTGCAGCAATGAAGACCCAACACAGCCAAAAAAAAAGATACATGCACCCCTATGTTCAGCACTATTTACAACAGCCTTGACAGGGAAGCAACCTAAATGTCCAGCAACAGATGAATGGATAAAGAAGATGTGGAATATATATACCATGGAATATTACTCAGCCATAAAAAAAGAATGAAATAGTGCCATTTGTGGCTACATGGATGGACCTAGAGATTATCATACTAAGCAAAGTAGGTCAGAAAGAGAAAGACAAATACTGTATGGTATCACTTATATGTGGAATCTAAAATATGGCACAAATGCACTTATCTATGAAACAGAAACAGACTCACAGACATAGAGAACAGACTTGTGGTTGTCAAGGGGGCAGGGGGTGGGGGAGGGTTGGATTGGGAGTTTGGGATTAGCAGATGCAAACTATTATATATAGAATGGATAAACAACAAGGTCCTTCTGTATAGCACAGGGAACTATATTCAATATCCTGTGATAAACCATAATGGAAAAGAATATGGAAAAGAATATATATATGTATAACTGACTCACTTTGCTGTGCACCAGGAAAACAACATTGTAAATCAACTGTACTTCAATAAAAAAGTAACTTAAAAATAATGTGTAATTTTGAGAACTATAACTTGAGGGGAGGATTTGGAAGGGACTGAGCTCTGGTTGGGTTGGAGCAGTCAGTACTTCCTTCAAAATCTGTAACTTTCATGGCCCCTGGCTGACGTGGCTTGCTATCAAGTCAGTCTCACTTCCAAAGGTAACCGACTACGTTAACAATTTGCCCACGTTTCACCAAAGGAGTGGACATCAAATTTTACCTGTCTTTTCGTGACTTTCTAATATTCTTAAAACATCCTGCCATAATTATGAAAGACACCATCGGGACTCTGACCTCCAGTGGGTGGAGCCCAGGTGGAAGGTCATGTCTGCTTTTGCTGGGTCTGAGACCAATTAACCCACACACACCTAGAGGGGAGGTCTAACTAAGGTGGCAAGACAGCCACCAAGTCCTTCAAACTTGCTTTCTTTTCATTCAACAGAAGAAAAATAGCTAATTTCCTAAAACATTAGTATTCTGGAAGACAAAAGTTAAAATCTCACAAGCCATGGAAACGAGTATTGATTGAAAGCAATGTTAGGTTCAGCTAGGACATGTCATAAGCAAAGACCAGAATGTGGGGCTAGATCCATTTCTCGCAAAGGATACTTTACTTTTTGCTCTGTTTCAATTTCTTCTCAGTGTTGATCTCTTTCCTCTGTGGAAAGATGTTATGTAAGGAGAAGTCTAAGTCTTTCTCTGCCTAGAACCTTGAGGCTAGGTAGAGAAAGGAGTGGATTTCTACTTATCATTTCAAGCAACCCTGAACTTAGGGAGCCCATTCCTTCTCTTTCCTCCCTCCCTCCCTCCCCTTCTTCCATCCTTCCTTTTGCACATTTACAAGTGCTCTAAATCATTAAGGAAATTTATGCAGTTCTAAAACCATAAACCCAAAACTGCATAGATCAGAGACCTCAGAGATGTCCTAGCCCATCCTCTCATTTTGTAAATGAGGATTGTGGGCTCCAGAACACAGAGAGTAGGGACTTCCCTGGTGGTCCAGTGGTTAAGACTCTGCACTTCCAACGCAGGAGACACGGGTTCAATCCCTTGTCGGGGAACTAAGATCTCACGTGTCATGCAATGTGGCCAAAAAGAAAACACAACAGAAAGCGGAGGGTAGAACCAGATTTAGGGTTCCTGGGTCCTCTTCCTTGTTCCATTCTGTTTCAAAGGAGACCACAAGAGGCAAAAACACTTAATTTTGGAAAAATCTCTATCAGAATCCTACGTAGGCAGTTTTATTTTTTCCCAAGGTAGAAGTTGTTTCAAGCAACAGAGAAGTCACTCTTGCTGTCCCATCACTCACCGACAAACAGCTGGCTGTAGAGCTCCAGGCGGGTGTGGCCTTCCGTTGGGGCCTTGCGGGTCTGCTGGGGCAGCCTGTCCACCTGCAGGCTGGCCTGCTTGACATTCCTCTCCGCGGTGACCCGGTGCCACTGGTCATCGTTGAGAGGGGAGGGTGACCTCACCACAATCTCCACTGGCCCGTTTCCGACATCAAATGAAAAGGACACTTCCGTGGCAGCTGGAGGAGCACAAAGCATGAAAGGCACGTGAGTACTTCCCTCCCAGCTGCCAAACAGTGGTGAATTCTAGAGGTAAAACCAAGCACGGAGAGAAAAGGAATCTAAGCTAGTCACTTGCTACATAGGTCCAAGGCGAAATCCTTTGAGGAGGGATGAAACATGAACCCATTGTTAACCATTAATAACCAGGGGAAGGAAAATAAACTTGGATTGGGAGTCAGGTATACATTGGTTTATTTTATCAGGAAGTTACCATCATTGACTCTTTCCAGATAAGGAACTGAAGGCTGGCGCACTTAAGCACATGTCGAGCACCTTAGATTTAGTGAGTAGTGGAGTCAGGATGGGAACCAGGCTTCTCAGGTTTCAGAGCCTGAGACCTTTTGGCTCTACACACACCCTGACTCTTCAGTAGCTCTTAGGGCGTGACCTGTAGCTCTGGCTGCACCAAGCGTCACCTGGGAGCTTTACGAAACACACCAGCTCCGCCCCCAGGGATTCCCACTCAGCTGGGTAGGCACTAGTATTTTTTAAAAGCTTCCTGGAAAATATTAATATATAGCTAGAGTTGAGAGCTACCGCTTTGGGGGTATTCACAAAACTTTATTTCCTTGATCTAATCCTTAAAGTTCCTATGGAAAGTTAGGGAGCTGTGAACTGTGCATGCAATGAGGATGACCCACATCTCTCCCGGACCTCTGGGGCTGGGCAAAGGGCAGCTCCAGAGTCCTGCAGAAAAAACCCTTTCTTGAACCATTTGTTGCACACCTTGGATGTTCGCCATCTGGGATGTCAGGTCCTTCTCATAACCTACCCTCCAGCACTAATCACAAATCATTCTTCTTCTTCTTCTTCTTTTTTTTTTTTTTTTTATAGATCTGCTCCCAATCAAACTCCTTTAATATATCACCTTTCAACAATGGAAAAATGGACTAGGAGGTTGCTTTGGTAACTCCAATTGTCAGTAGCTTTCTCACAACACATTTTAGGTTTCAAGTTCTTCAGTGACTACCTAGTGCTTTATAAATATGTTTTTTTTTAAGTGTATATTTTTCCTGCGATTGGCAGGCGAGGTAGTGGCATGCGGGTCCCAGCTCCTTAGCTTGGTGAATTCTTTTGACAGGAAAGATGAGGCACACCACTGGATCTTCTAACTTTGCTTATAAAGAGATTCAGCTCCTCTATCTATCAATGAGCCTCTGACTAATCTCCAAGCAGTTTAATTAACTATCTGTCATTTTTCCCCCCAGGCTAATGAAAAATTCAGCTTCTCTGGACTGGTACCACTTTGAAATCATGTTGCAAGCAATCAAACTTCTGATTTAAAAACCGCAGTGGGCCAGATTCTCTCAAGACCTAGACTGTTCCCCACCTCTGGGTCAGGTCCCTCTGAAAGCTGCATTAACTTTATTGAGCTCCAGGGACATTAGACGCAGAACTCAATTTCATCAACCTAGTTGTACCAAGGAATTTGGTTCCTTTATGTCGTTAGAAAGGGAACTTTAATTTTAATACCTGTGGTGATGCCACACGTGCTCTGGTGAAATTTCTTCTCTAAATTGGGAGCTCCTGCCTTCCAGGGTCACTGTGACCTGATGGAGGCCAGTGACCTTCACCAAGGTTTCTGCAGAAGTATGATCAGAATATGGGTCGATGATCATATGACTCATGAACTGAATGACCTTTCCCTGAATTTCTGGCATGGTCAATGGGGAAAATGTAACCTCGGTTTTTAAGATTGAATTTGTTCTGTTCTTGCAGTGCTGTGTCTTAGCAGATGCATTTTAAAATGTAAGTTATCAGAATAGCCAGAGAACAAGACTTCCTGAGCTAAGAAGGAAAGTTGGTTTTGCTTCAAAGGCATCAACAGCCATCAGGGAAGTATGATTTAGGGATAAATTGAGTTTAACTCTAAAATTTGACTCAGAGGGATTAATGCTCCTCTAATTTCCTCTCTTCCTGCTCTAACGAATTTTTGTTCAGGTCTTTTTTTGCGGTACGCGGACCTCTCACTGCTGTGGCCTCTCCCGTTGCGGAGCACAGGCTCCCGACGCGCAGGCTCAGTGGCTATGGCTCACGGGCCCAGCCGCTCCGTGGCATGTGGGATCTTCCTGGACCGGGGCACGAACCCGCGTCCCCTGCATCGGCAGGCGGACTCTCAACCACTGCGCCACCAGGGAAGCCCCTGTTCAGGTCTGAGGACCAGCAGTTACCAGGAAATATCCATACTTCCTTCTCTGCTTGTCGCACTAGATCTCTTGTTCCTTAACATCAACACTTCCCTCTAGAGGAGGAAAGAAGGTCTCGAGGACCTGCTGTAGCTCAGTCCTCTCCCCAACTGGGTGCAGGAAGAAGGACTCAAGGCCGAGGGCCCCTGAGAGCAGAATCCTCCTCCAAGAGCCTCCACCCAGGCTCTGTTGAAGTAACGTCCACAATTTCAGCCCATCCCACTTCCCTTCTGGTGCTTCCTGAGGCCGCGCCTGAGAGTGAGGGAAGGGGTTCCTTTTTCCCATTTATTCTATGTCAGCTTCCCTGACATTGCCTTTGAGAAATCCCGTCTCCCAGCCAAACGGCAAGTGTGTTTTAAAAGCTTCTGAAGTTCAGTTTGTGGATGATTGCTCTCCGTTTCTGGGTGAGAGGAGCTGACATTTTAAAAGAGCTAATTACAGAGAGAGTCAGCAAGCGAATGAAAGGGAGGCAGAGTAAAAGACACGAGAGCCAGCGACACCATCCTCTTAATGTGTGTCTCCAGGAGACTGAAGTGTTGCCCTGTTTCCGACTGTAGAAAAGGAATTTCTGACATATCGAAACTATTCTTATTTTCAGAAGTAAGTATTTAAAGATTGGATGTTTCTAGCACGGCTCATTAGAAAGAACACTGTAGCACACACGAATGGTTGCCTTTCTCTTAGTGTCAGGAACTGGGAAGCATCTTTCTTGCAGACTCACAAGTTAGCCTGCCATCGTTTTGTAGATGCTGGCAGAAGACAGGAGACTCGTGGGTCAGAGACAACGCACTGCGTTCTTCACGGTGCAGCAGGCGGCATGAGCGTCAGTCCTCCTTGGTTTCTTTGGTCCCCAGGGTCCCATGGGGGCCACGTGCAGCAGCTCAGGTGGGTGCTGCCTATGCAGTGAGTTTGCATCACAGCCAAGGAGCCCTGACTTTAGGAAATCCCGAAGTTTCAAAAGGGCTGCTAGCAAACCTGCTTAACTTTTGTCCTGGAGCGAGACATTGGCTTTATTATCCTGGTCAGGAAACAAATCTACTCTCTGTTCTGGAGGAAGACATTCTATCCTCCGAGACTGTTTGCTATACACACATCCTTTAGAAGGTACGAACAAAGCTGACAGTGCCTCTTGTTCAGAAGACAAGCAGAAATGGGAGACACCCATGGAGAACCCTGCCCGACAGCTAGACAATCCCCCACCCTTTTCCTCGTGAGCCGGCCTGATTTTGCCCAGGAAACTATGTGCTTCCATACAACTTCACGCTCCAGGTATGGATGACCCTACCCCAGGCCCAGAGGGTGTATCTGGATTCATCTAAGTCAAACCCGAGAATTCTGAGCTCTCTGCCAGCAACCCACTTAAGATGGGATGTATCATTTCCTTCTGGCCAGTAAGACATGAGGGGGAGTCTTTGGAAGGAAAATTAATTAATTGGTAAGAGAAGAGACAGTCATCCCCTTTTGCTCCTTGGTCTTGGGAGGAGATGTGGTTTGTAGTGTTGGTGGAGTCAGACACACTGAGGAGAACAGGGAGGGAAATGGGATGAACCTGGGGCTTAGCTGACATTGTTCAGCCCCTGAATTATTCCTGGAGCCACTTCAAGACTTCTTATGTGAGATATCCCTTATTGCTAAAGCCATCTTTCTTGCAGCTAAAAGCATCTTAACTGATATAGAGAACGGTTTAGCAACCAGTATTTATGAGTTCTAGTCTTCACTTTGCTTTGTCACCTTTTGGGCTCTGTTTATTGGTGTCTGAAAGGAGGATTACATCTATAGTTTCCCAAGAGTTTCTATGTCCAAAATGTGTCTGAAAACACTGATGAGCTCTAAGGTCCCTTCAAATGCGAACGTTCTATGATCTAATTTCCAAGAGATTCTAAGAGAAACAATAAATGAAATAGAGCTGGTCTCACTAGTAGTGGTAGATATCGGATCACTACAGGGAGAAAAGAGAGATATTAGAAGAGAAATGCACAAGGTGGCATATGGGCGTTAGAAACAAGCATGATGGCAGAGATCACCTTTGATCACATCTGGATCATGACTTCATTTGAGTGACAAAGCAATGAATGGGACAGAACCATGGGCAGCTCTGGATATATATATATATATATATATATATATATATATATATATATATATATTTTTTTTTTTTTTTTCTCCCTCCCCTCCTTCAAGTGTAATTCCAGCAGGTGGCACTATTCACTCTCATTCTAACCATGCGTTTTCGGAAACAAATCACTCCAGGCTTAATGTACTGAGAGACGAATTTAACAACTGACCAGAATAGTAGGCTTTTGGACTCTGGGTTTTCCCAGCAGGTGAGATAACATTCAGACATTAGACTCAAAGCATCAGTTGGAAGCAGCAGAAAAAACTGGCCATTCAACACAGAATAGGTAAAAACACAAGGGAAGGTACACAGAGTGAGCACACTGAGAAGACCAGCTAACACGGCTGCAGTTTTGATGATGATTTGTTTCTTTCATTCTACAGTGAAGTTCAAGGATGGATAGCTTCCAAAGGGCTATTCTGCACCAAATATCATTTGATCCATACAACAAAACTGGTAATAGGCAGAGCAGATATTTTAGCCTCACTCTACGAGTGGGGAATGTTATGAATTTTCTGCTTTCTTTTTCATGAAGGAAGGGCTAAGTGTCCATTAGGAGACAAAAGAATTTAGACAACAGGAAAGGGTATGAGAAGACACAGGTAGGCTGAAAATGAGGTCATTATGGGGACCAGAGAGGTGAGAAAAAGGAAGA